AAATCTGAATCACTTTTAAAATTGTTGCCACCAAATATTATCGCCTTGTATAATAATTAAAGAAATTAAATAATGAAGAATCTACATAAATATATATATGTTTCTCGCTCTCTGATAAAACAATGGTACCTGGAGCTATTAAATTTTTTATAACGTACATCTTCACCCGAATACGGGCATCTGGAAGCCCGAATTTGGTATTTGTTTTATTATCTAATTCATATTTTGTAAATCATGAGTTTTTAATTAAAAACTCAACGATTTTAAAGCAAGCAATGGCAACACTGTACGAGGGGGGATTATCTCCACCGAAAAGAGAGAGAGAGAGAGAGAATGCATATCGGAAATTCTAAAGATATGCTCATTTTAAAATTATTTTGCGACATTGCTATTGAACTGAATTTTATGGTTTAAGGGCGAAGAATATGATATTTAACAAATAAACGCAACACAACAAAATGTAAAAAAAAAAAAAAAAAAAAAAAAAAAAAAAAAAAAAAAGGTAGGGTCGTAATTTAAAATCTGAAACCTTTCAAATTTTTTTCAACGATTTTTTTTTTTTTTTTTTTTTTTTCTGGTTTTCAAAGTGTCAACATCATAAATTGGCTCTACAAAAACTCGATCCTCTGTCTGATTCACGGACATATTTCAACGATCTTGCTACTCGTAGTAAGCCAGCCACTTCTTTGGAATGTCACTAACGCTACCTTTAAACTTTGGATACCAATTTCTAATGCTCTTAACCACTGGAGGCTTGTGTTCATATAAACCTCTTTAAACGCCGTTGATGGGCGATTTTGCCTCACCACAAAACACAGCCATTGTCATTCACAGATGCTATTTGGATGTTAAAATTCAAAGACATGAATTTGTGAGGACCTTGCGATTTTGCAGTGATTGCAATCCTTGACCATCTTAATTGGTTTTGACGTGCCCCTGCATATAAATAAAAAAAGTTCTACGGTGCATAAGGGGATAAGAGAATCCCGTACAATTAACAGATATTTTATTTTCTGTATTCAGTGTTGGAATACAGAAAAGTATTTCTAAAGTACTTAACCATTTTAACTGGTGGGCCATATTCAGTGACGTGACAAATATCCTTAGTTTGTTACCGCAAAATAGCTTTGTTTGTAAACAATTGCCTCTAATTTTAATTTTTCAAAGGCGTCGTTTCGGTAAACTCGTTATGCAGTACGTCCTTGTGAAGCGGGATTTGCTTTTCATTACCATTTAGATTTTAGAGTGTTCACAAATATTTGTTTGCAATTCCCTATGGACTTTCTTCGTATAGATCATCGAGAAGCATTTGAGCTGTTTTAAATCGTAGTATGATCGATTACTTTTTGAGACAAGCGGAAGTGAAATAAAAAGAGACTCAAATGATAATGATGTAAAATTGGTTGCTATGGTAACAAGAAGGCTGAAACTACGTAATGTTTTAAGACCTTAATGTTTATAAACATGTCTGTATAGTTTTGTACTAGTGTTACGCGTTTCACGTATTCATACCATGAATGTACGAAACGCAAAGGGTGAATGACCTTTCGGAACAATCAGGTGTTTCGGCAGTTGTCCGCATTGGGCTTGTGATTGGACCGTGGCCAACCCTCGGATTTGCTGACGTCAGAACACGTTGATTTCACGTGGCTGCTAGTCTGTAGTTGCGGTTTGCCATTTAAAAGGATTTATCGCTTTTGCGTGGTTTTTGTTTACAAACATACACACTTTCGCTGCCTAATGTTTTGTTGTATTCCTTTTTTCAATTGATAATATCGTCGGCCAAAGGTGCAGCGTTTAACACTAAAGTGATTATTTTCTCTTCCTCATTGTACTATAAACTTTATCTTTCTGCGGTTTTTTTATCTTTTACTTATTTGTTATAAAGAGGGCAGCGTGTAGATAAGAATATCTGTGACTTGGATAATAGAATTTTTTCATTCCTTATTATATAATCTTACGTTGGCAGTAATAAATCACGAAACGAACTCTTATGTCCACCAATTGTTTAGTTTTTGTGCCGAGAAAAGAATAAAAAAATCGTAATATTTTTCATATTTTTCAGAAACATTGTACAAGAACTTGTTACAATTTAAAAAGAATTATCAGAATTATGTTATCGGGTGTATTTTTATTTGTGGTTTAGGTTTATCTTAAAAAATTGTTTATTGATAGTTTCAAGATTTGTCGCTTTTACCGAAAAGTGTCAGCGAATTTTTGACTGATGTAATCATGTTTTATATATATATATATATATATATATATATAATGGATTTTTGTGGGGGGGGGTACCGGCGCATGATAAATTATTTTACCGATTCCATTATAAGACAGTGTCTCTTCTTTAAGGTGCTATACCTGTATTACTTTCGCAGCCTAATATTTGCCAAACAAATTAAGATAGTTTTTCATTTATATTTTAATTTTTAAGTCTCTCAATGAAATCTAAATTAAAAGTAATACTTAGTTTTATCTCAAAGCTATGGCACATAGATAATTATCTTTCTCTTGGAACTTCTTTGACATAATTTCATTATTTATGAGGTCATCGTATATACAAGTGATATTTTTATTGTAAGATCCCATAAATTCAATGTTGCCATTCATGCGAAACTGTCTTTTTACCTGCTTTCTGGGAGGGGGGAAAGAAATTATCTTAGTAATTTTGGACTTGGAAGACCTGTTGTTAGTTGTAGATTAAAATATGTGTATTTTGGCTCTGCTAAAGGAATGTAATTAAAATTCTGATCAGTTTCTCAAATCTTAATCATGATTCATATTTCATTTTGAAAAGAACTGAATGTCTGCTTTTATTTACCTTAATGGGCGAATGTTTTGTTTATTATGATATTTAAAATGTTGTTTTTGCTAATTCTTTCAGTGAAGATTAATGCTAATAGGTATAAGCATGTAACATAACGTTTTTAACTGTAATGCAATTCTGGTGTGTAATAAAGTAGGCATGCAATTTTAAGTGATTCTGAAACCATTTTTCTTTATTTATTTTTTTTTTTTGAAGTGAAAGGATAATTACAATGTTTATCGTTTCAGAAGGTGAAACCACCTTCTGAAACGATAGTTAAGTAAAACTTAATGGTAAAAGATGATCAACTTGTATGTTTTTTTGCAGAATTTGTTAAATATGTTCTTTTATTTTATGATTTAACAATAATAATAAGCAATAACTAGGTATCAGAATTTTTTTTTGGAAATTTCTTTGTTGAACAGCTAGGTCTAATTAAATATACAGAATACCTTAAGAAATTTTAGCTCTGAAAACCTTAAAAAAATTCAAGGAACACAACTTCATGGCTATGTAACTTTTTTCTTACATTTCCTTCTGACGATATATGTCTCTTAATGTACACCGGTTGTTGCATGTTGATGAATTCTGAGGACATTCTACAAATCAGTAATTTGTAATTATCGCTTCATTCACCCCCCCTAATTTTTTAAGTGCTACAGGTGGTGGTGCTATTTAAGCTGATAATTTTCTTTTAGCCAAAAGATAGTCTGCTGATGCCAGCTTTGGCGAGTAAGAGAAATGATTCAGAACAGTTACTTTTATTTGCACTGAATCAAGGGACAGTTACGCGAACCAAAAGAGTTTCTGATTATTGATTTTTTGAATCCATAACAGCAGATATCAGTTCACATGGAGAGTAATCTTCTTTCCATAAGCAGTAATAATTTAAAGAAAGCAAGTGTGTTAATTGTTTTCAGTAGTTATCATTGATAGTTTCGATGAGATGGGTTGAAAAATTTCGTTTCTGTGTAAACGGATTGTGAAACTTTAATGTCGAAGTAAAGTTCCTAATAATCCTAAAATTTTTAAAATTTGCTTACGAATGCAAAAACATTTCTTATATTAAAATCATTATAGCATTAATCACTTGGGGAAAGGGGAAAAAAGTTCTTGTTTTATCATAATACAGGTTATTCAGGAATGAAATTGAAGATACTCGAGAACTCTTAAAAATGTATTATTTCTGGTAGTTGTTGGCAGAAGTAATTTATTTGGTTGTGGAAATTTTTATATTTTAGAAATAATGTATTGTCACTGCAGGGGAGAAAAGTAATAAGTAAAATTAATTTTTCCAAAAAAAAAGTTTAATTGATTTGGTATGTAATAATCAAAAATTATTTTATTCAAAGTGAAACTTGTGGAGTGACTAAATTATTTTTCTCTTAGATCTTTATAAAAAACGCACGTTTCTTCATGCGATAGAAGAAAAATAAAAGAGTGAAAATGAAAACGCATATTGGGATTTAAGTAATCGGTTGGTTTGCTTTCAGAGAATATCTTTTTTTATTAGCATTTGGCGCTGTACATCTTTTATTATGGCAACCCTAACCAAATCGTGGATGGGAGATGAGATCAAAGTTAAAGAGCATTCATTATGCTTGCAGTTCTAACGCGAGGGTCGAGTGTTGTGTTCTGCTTTCGACGGATGACGTATTTAATACCAGCAAGACAATTCGGAGCTGCGGTTACGATAATCTCAGTCGCCGAATGCTTCGAAGCCAATTAGTATTCTCTACCTTGAAAAAGGTACCGGGTTGTAACGAGATTCACTTTTTACGGATGTGTTTTATGAAGCGGATTACTATTTTGTTGACTTGTAGAGTAGCCTGTTAGCGCTAAAATGTGTTTCTTCTATGGATATATTATGTAAGTTAGGTGTAAGCGTTTAACAATTCGTTTAATACGGTCTGCTGTTTTTTAGTTCCAACAAGCATTTCAGTTTTTATCATTACATTCGGTTGGTTGCTTTCTAAAACTATGTTAATTCAAATTATATATTTTTAAGATCTTCCATCTGAATATGTAAACCGACTTCACTCCCATGCGTTTTTAGTGATAAATTTTATTTTAATTAATTTAATATAGTGAAAGAATGTAAGATTTTTGTACTTTTATAATAATTTTGTAGCTATTTTTAATCTTAAAAATTTGATTTTAATGTCTTTTTTTTTTTTTTTTTCCCCTCCCTATCCAGTGCTACATCAACAGGTGCAAATACAGTCGCAATAGACAATAAAATAGAGCAAGCAATGGTGAGTTTTCGTCATTATTTTGTAATTAATAAATTATTTCATTCAGATTATAATTTAATATGCAGTTTAATTGCGTTTTAGCATTAAATGTTTTTGAAACTTTTTATGCAAAGAAAATAAGACTCAAATCATAATTTTTTCAGTTTCACTTGTAAAAGGAACAGTATTAAATGTTCATTTCTTTAACATGAGTGGTTAAAAATAGTATCAATAGGTTTTAATGATCAACTAATATTTGTATTAACAGTTTTAAAAATAGCATTACTTTATCCAATTTTGTAAGGCAGCGAGCCTTGATTTTCATTTAAGCAAATCTGTATTATTATATACGACTGTGATGATTATTTCTGGCTAATTGGGGCATATCGGAAACAAATATAGTCAAAAGTCTTTAATCCGGACTCGTCGGGACTTCGGCGATTCCGGATTATCGGTTTTTCTGGATTATAGATCATCATTTTAAATCTGGTAAGACGACATGCAGAAATTATAAAATTAAAAATATGAAACGGTAATTTATGAAATAAGAGCAATTATAATTAAAGGGTAATCAAAATTTACAAAAAAAAAGCTTAATATTTATTTCTTTACTTTATTAAACATTTCTTTCAATGCATAACCATACATTACGCATAAACCATGCATTACGCATAGTCGAAATTAGAAAACATGCGTAAACCATACATTACGCATAGTCGAAATTAGAAAATTGCAACCAGAAGACTGTTTGATGTGTATTTGCGATATTTATAATGACGAGGAATTTGATTTAAATCCTATCAAAGACTGAGTACATAGAGATGAAATACTACATTTAGTAAGGAATTATAAGCCGAATGAAATAAAAACATCTGCCGTGAAGATAAGGATAGTGCTGATAGATAAACTTCCAGTTCATTGCGTGCCGCGATGTCCCCTTCCCCCGCAGAGCAGCATGAAATTGATAAACAGATTTCAGAATGCTTAGAGAAACAAAGGATATGCTTTTATCCAATTTTTGGAGCAATTCCACTTCTTGTTTGATCGACATCGAAACATGCTTTCGTTTTGTAGATCCTTTGGCAGCTCCAGAATCAAATTCTTTTTGACATAATCGAAAGTTCAAGCTTACTTTTATAAAATTGCTCTAACAGTCTGCAAAAAGTAATAAGCCGGATCCAATTAGAAGATTAAGGAACAGTGCAATCTGCAACATTAACTGAAATAGATAATTAGATAATTTTAGCTTAGCTTATACCGTCCGTTATACATTAAACGTGCATGCGTGAACGTGCGTTGACGCATGTGCAATGGGCAGAAAGTTTGTAACTTTGAGGTCCGGATTATGGACGTCCGAATTAGACTTTTGACTGTAATTATTAAATAGTAACTCAAGCAGTTTTCTTGATTATCCCAAAATTGAATTTTATAACTTTAAAAAAAAAATCCAGTTGAATATTGTATAAGTTTTTAATTTTATGCATCTAATTGATTGATTTGTTGTTGTAGTTATCAGTTAATTATTCCGATGAATTGTATTATGAAGGATACACTTAGTGGTGAAATTTAACTGCAAAGTTTCTTTCAATTCTCTCTAGTATGTGTATATGAAATAATCTTCGGAAATATGCATTTGTTATGAAATATGTGATGATGATGATTAAAATTAGGAGTGAAATCAGCATGTTAACATTTAACAAAGGTAATGGACTAGCTTTTTCCATGAAATAATCATAACTAATCAGGGTTCATGCCAGAACAGAAATTTGGGGGCTGCTTTTAGTTTTCAGAATTTAGAGAAGCAATAACCAATAAAATTTATGGTTGGCAAATTTTTTAGTATATAAGAGAGATGCTGGATAGTAGAATTTAGGGCAGCAAAATTTTTAGAATTTTAAGAACCTACTGTGTAGCAGGACTCTGAGTTTGCAGCAGGTGGCAAAATGCCTAACACTGGCCCTGCAACTAACAAATGTATTTCCTTCTTGACATCCTGTCTAGTAATTTTACGAATTGAAAGTATCATTTTCTGAGGTTAAAAGAAAACTGAAGCTTCTATTTTTTTTTTTTTTTTCAAGAAACTGAAGCTTCTATTTTTTTTTTCTAGAAGCTTCTGTTTTTTTTCAAGGCTTTATTTCTAAAATTAAAAATGACAATGTCCTATGGGAAAAACTATCAGAAATGTCAAAATAAGCAGAAATAAATTAGTGAAATAAATTAATAAAATTATAGTAAATAACATCAAATATGATGAAGAAAAGCGGACACAGTTAATGATAAAATTTTGTATAGCGAGAGAAAGAATAGAGAATAATTTTGAACAATTCTGTTCACAATCGTATAAATTACTATTTAACTTTGCCTTCTATTCCATTTAAAGCCTTGCTGATTGGATGGTTAAAGTTCATAAACATTCCTTTCTTTAACTGATGATGGCCCACCAGCGGCCGAGCGGTAAAGTCGCTGAACACTGGTAGTTCGGTCCGAGGTTCGAATCCCTCGAACGGGCTAGCTGCATGGGTGTTTTCGTGGTTTTCCTGAAATGTATACGTGTATAAGAGCCAGTTTCCCTTAGAAAGTCCTCCACGAAGGCATCCCTTCCCTTGGGCAGATAGCCCTCAAGGCTTTGCCATAATTGAATAACCTAACCGAACCTCTAACTGATGACAGACATTTTAAAAAAAGGGGGGGATTTGACTATCAACTTTTCTTTCACATTTTCTTCCTTCAGAGCAGACAATGTCCTATGGAAAAAACCATCAGAAATGTCAAAATAAGCAGGTGAAATAAATTAATAAAATTATAGTAAATAACAACAAAGATAATGAATAAAAGCGGACACAATTAATGATAAAATTTTGTATACCGAGAGAAAGAATAGAGAATAATTTTGAACAATTTTGTTCACAATCGTATAAATTACTATTTAACTTTGCCTTCTATTCCATTTAAAGCCTTGCTGATTGGATGGTTAGAGTTCATAAACATTCCTTTCTTTAACTGATGATGGCCCACCAGCGGCCGAGCGGTAAAGTCGCTGAACACTGGTAGTTCGGTCCGAGGTTCGAATCCCTCGAACGGGCTAGCTGCATGGGTGTTTTCGTGGTTTTCCCGAAATGTATACGTGTATATGAGCCAGTTTCCCTTCCCTTAGGCAGATAGCCCTCAAGGCTTCGCCGTAATTGAATAACCTAACCGAACCTCTAACTGATGACAGACATTTAAAAAAAAAAGGGGGGGGGAGATTTGACTATCAACTTTTCTTTCACATTTTCTTCCTTCAGAGCAAAAAGAAATGTACATTTAGTAGGTAGCATCAGTATCAGTTTCACTAGCTTTTGCTGAAAGTAATATTGTACAAATTCGGACGTCCATTATCCAGAATGATCTAAAATCCGGACCTCAAAACCGTTTTTCTCATAGGTTTTACGCATGCGCATTTAATTGCTCCCTCCACACATAAAAAAGCATTTGGAGAGTCCCGATTCTTAATTTCATTTCGACACTAAATAAAATACCTTGTTGTTGAAGAAACAATCATTTTAGCATAAATTTGTAGAATGAGTAATTTGGCTCCATTGTTGCGTATCTGCTTTGGCACACATCTCAAACCGAAACATTCTACATAGATGTATCGTTGATCTGACGCCAACCTGGCGAATCATTATTTTATTTATTATACTTTCCTTTCATCACCGCATGTTTATCAACACATGACAACTTGAGTAATAACTCATGTAGTGAGCCTAAACAAATTTTTTATGTTAGTAGTTGAATAATAAAGGAGTATGGTAACCTTTTATGTTGATATTACACTTGGCGATGATTATAGATTTAAGTTAAATGCGCTAAAAAATGTTGACGAGGAAAACTTTTAAGAAAAAATTTTTTTATGCTGAAAATAGATTTTTTAATGATACTGATAGGCCAAAAGACTACATTTATTGCTATTTGAATTGAGAATAACTGATTTATTAGACACATAAACACGGAAGCAGCGCCAGGGCTAGTATGGCCCGCCGAATCGCAGAATTTAGAACCCACAGAGACTGTATCAGGTGGCAAGATATTTTTAAATAGCCACTAAAGCTTTGTTCAGACAGGGGTGTAAAGAGCATAAGGCAACCAGTCTGTGCTACGTCACAAAAATCTGGTTTAGGGCTCGTGGCATAGGGTTCAAAGTTTTCAACTTTATGCCGAGTTTGGGATAAGCGTCGACCAATCAGAGCGAAGCTAAAATGAAGCGGCGTTCTACTGAAGATTTTGCTGTCACAAAACAAGCAGAGCGAATGCGGGAAGTCAATCGAGCAGGAGAACAGCGCGAGAAAGTTGTAGACACATCCACGCATGCACAAATCTAGCTTCTCCCATTGGCCACGGCTTACACACCTTTCTCGGAAGTGTGAAGAAATTCCCGTATTTTAAGCCCTTATGACTACGCGTCTATGCCCTTTACACCGCCGTCTGAACAGAGCTTTAGGGCTGACAGGACATGTCAAAATTGCTGTTTTCATTGTGTTGAAATTTAAACATTGTGAGTAATTAGAATGTGGAAAATAAAGTAATTTTAATCATAAATATTTACAAGAAATAAAGGTGGATATTTATAAGGCTTATTCATATGAATAATATTCGGAAACTAAGTACCGTTTCATTCTAGTGCCGTCACAGCGCTGTGGTAGGCGTCCCGCGCATGCGCACTAGTCTCTTGTTCACTGACTTTCAATTGTCGCCATTTTGGTTGCTCTATGTTGTGTTTTCAGTTTGCTGTGCACATTCAAAATGTTTCAGACAATGAGTTCTCCCGCTGACTGTGAGATTCATGCCGTGATTAAATTTTTGAACGCGAGGAATGACAAGTGACAGAAGTTTACGGTGAATACGCGATAAGTGATGGAATGGTGAGAAAGTGGGTAAGAAGGTTTAATGCAGGTCGAACAAATGTCCACGCCGAGGCTCGGAGTGGTCGGCCTTCTTTTGTCACCGATGATTTGGTAAGGAAAGTTGATGAAGCAATTCATGAGAACAGATGCTTCACAATGACAACTCTTTCAGAGGCATCTCCACAAATTTTACGTACTGTTTTGTTCGAAATTGTGTCTAACCGCTTGAATTATCGCAAACCGTGTTCCCGATGGGTTCCAAAAATACTCACTGATGTTCACAAAACAAAGCGACTTGGTAGTGCCTTGACATTTCTCACGCGGTACAGTGATGAGGAAGAAAACTTTTTAAACCAAATTGTGACAGGTGATGAAACTTGGGTGTGTCATTTCACAAGCGCTTTAGATCTGACGATGACACGAAAAATGCTGTGGAGTCGTAGTTATCGAAACTGGCGGGAAGTTTCTTTGACGATGGTATACAAAAGCTGGTCACCCGCTATGACGAGTGTTTGATCATTGGCAGAAACTATGTTGAAAAATAGTTTAAGACATGTATTTTCATGTAAAAATATGACTGTTGGGCAATTGTAATGACTGGCGTGAAATGCTGAGCTTCTATGCAATTCTCCGATGTTTTTCTTTTAGTAATATAGTTGTGTATGTGGCAAAAACATCATCACAAAAAAATAATAGAATTTCTTCAAAAAGGTTAAGTGTTCGGATTTTTCAATGAGTGTAAAAAATAGGCGTTTAAAGATACCCAAGCAGAGTTTCTAAAATCAGTCATAAAGAAGTTTACAACCTTTCAGTAAGATTGCAGATAATCAAAAAGTACCTTTCATGATGCCGTTCGTGGAAGAGTAATTGTACAGATATTTTTGATCATATGGTCGATTACTGAATAATCTATTTTGTAACTTTTTCTACTATGTGGTCTGTTACTCTACCTTTTTTCATTTGTGTTGGGTTGTCTCCAGTGTAAAATTTACTGAAATTTTTATTCATGTAAGTATATTGAGTGGTTTATCTTTTTTGTAATTGCATTTTTAAATTCAACAGGATCTCGTGAAAAGCCATTTGATGTTTGCTGTCCGTGAGGAGGTCGAAGTATTGAAGGAAAAGATAACCGAACTTCTGGAAAGAATTTCCCAGTTGGAGCATGAGAATGATATCCTGCGAGCCAATGCCTCTGCAGAGACTCTTAAACAATTGAATAACCAGAAGAAAACAAGTGGGGGTGGTACAACAGGAAAACCACAGCCTGTTGCAGCCGTACCTCCACCATCAACATAAAGCAATCATCCGTGTGCATCTGGAATCTTAAAAGCTAGCTGCTGGCATCAATACCTCTGCATACCCCTTAATCTTTAAGTACTGTTATATTTGTTAGAAAGATGTGCTGTACGCTACTGTGAAACTTTGCTTACATTAATTCTGAAGTTGATTATCAATGAAAAGTGTTATTTTTAAAAATGCTAATAGAAAATTTAAATTTACATATAAAAGAACATATTTTACCATATGAATTATTAATCGAATACTGATGTTAAGTTATTATTGCATCTCTGAAAACCATTAACAAATACTTTGTATTCCTTACTAGTTTAAGAGGGAAGTATGATGAAGAATGAAAATGAAATTGTCGTCATTTTCCAGATGGTTGCAACACGCATTCTTTTATTTACGAAAAATTACCAATTGCATGTTGCATCACGTATGATTAAAAAAAAAATAACTGACTTTTCTTTTTTCTTGGCTTAATTCCTTGCAAAGTTGACTAGCCAAATTAGATTGTATTGTTCCCATTCAAGGAATGAAGTCAAATAAAAAGTCGGATCATCTCTAAAAAGGTCAAAGAACATGAAAAGTTTGCCCTGACAGGGCATTTATGTTACAGGAAATTTAAACTTTGTCGTATCTTCAAGTAATTAAAAAAAAAAAAAAAAAAAAATTCAGTGTTACTCCACTTATGCTTTTCATTCTCAGTCATCTGTGCCATCTTTTATTTGTACAATATATATATATATATATATATATATATATTATTTTTTTTTTTAAAATTGCATTCTGTTCAAATCATGAAAGTGCCAAGTTTGAAACGTAACCTTGTTCATATCTCATCACACTGCATATTTTTTCAGATTACTTTTCTCCTTAATATTCTTTTTATATATCATGCTGATAAATCATATTTATAATTTGTGATCTTTTCTTTAAGTATCTTGATGATAATCAACTCCAGTATTTATTTTAGTAAAGGAATTGTTTGGAAGTAAATAAGAGAAAATCAAAATGTATATTTTCCTTTATTTTTCTGATTTCTCTAGAGAAGCTCAAGGGGATGAACCCCTTTTTAGTTGTCCATTAAAAGTACAAGATCTAAATGCAGGAAGCATACTTTCACTCAAGGGGTATTATAGAGGTGTTGATAAGCATCGTCCTGTGTACGAGAAGGAAGTATTACTGAAAGACAGTGTCATTTGCTGCTATTGCTTTATTTAATGATGCTTCATTACTGCTGTGCTTCTAGGCTCTTTAACCAGCTCCTTCCTATTATCTTTGATTCTTCAATTTGATGACTCTGCAAGCTTTCCGACTCTTCTAAAAGAGTAATTTTGAGCAGATGACAAACTCCGAACTGGAGTGGGAGGCAGATCTTTTATCTATGTAATATGCACGATTCCACAAAATAGGATCTATGAGAGCCACTTATATGTGCTAAGCTAGAAACATAGTTTTGCTCTAAAAGTAGTAAGTACACAGAAGACAGACTGCCATCATATCTGGAAATATGTTGATTTTCAGGCAGAAATGGAATGTCATGAGAGAAGGAAAGAAAATGCTTCTAAAAGATTTGTCCGTAAAATGGTAAATACATTACAAATCTTGTATGCATTGTGATAAGAATGTGAGATGAACATACCAAAAATTTGTGAATGTACCAAAAATGCTTTGCGATGATTATCACTGACCGGTGCCAGGAGAAAACGGTGAAAGATCACCTCCTAACAGTAATACTACTTGGTAAAAAGAACATATGGAAGCCACTGATATAAACTTGAAAAACCAGAATAGTGTTTTTGTGACAGATGTGGAATAATAATATATCCCTTGTGAAGTGGCAAACCAATGACTTTTTTTTTTGCAAATATAAGTTATTTATTAGACAAAGTGTGTATGGTAAATTATTAGTGCAGTATTATGGAGAATGATTCATTGGAATATGCTGATTTGAGAAATGGTGGTGAATTTTGAAATGTCTCCTATCAAAAGTATAGTAAAAACATTCTGTAATTTTGCTGTATTTTATCTCTATCTCCTATTTAAAGCAGGTTGTATGTTCTGTTTTTAAGAAGGGTATTTTTAGTAGATGACTGTTATATAGCAGTGTTCTGTGATACTTAATATCCTATTAAGTTTATAAAGCCAGAAAAAAAAAAAAAAAAAAAAAAAGAGGAATAGACATTAATGATGAAAACATTGCTTTTATGATTTTGATTCTTAATGCTATATTGGCTTCATTAAACTTCACTTTTTAAGATATATGTGTAGAGATTTATGGAAATTCCATAATATACATGATTACACATTTGGATTATGAACCGACCTAACTAAGTTCTTGCCTTTGGAAGAACCTGCAAATTCTATGGTGCTCCTGTTATATTAGTGAATATTCACAATTAGTTCTATGAATGGCAGTGGTTTCATTGTAAATACTCATACTAATGTTATTGTTAGATTGTTATTTGTACCACTAGCCCATTGAGCTTATTGTTTTCTTATATTTATAAGCTTATTCTGCTTAATACGTAACTGGAAGACATTTTACTAGAAGATTTCGATGTAATGGATTGCTTTTTGCCATACTGTATTATTAAAAACTGATATTAAATATTCATATAACAGGTTTAGTTTTCTGAAGAAGCAACTACTTTACTTATGAGGAATACTCGAGGCATTTTAAATCCAGTATTTGAATATTTCAATGCCATGGTGTTAGGGGCTATGAAAAAGGTATGCGCACAACTTTGAACTGATGTACCTGATTTTTCATAAGCTTTACAAAATGTGATACACATAAAAAATATTTTGAAGAGCTAATTTTTATTTTCCTCTCTTTTTGCCTTACTGATGCTTCACTTGGAGGTATTTTATAAAAAGGTGCCTGAAGTTAATCATATAGCAAAGCAGCTTGATTTCTTCTGAATTTTTATCTGAAAAACGAAAACTTATTTAAGAGACCTTAATTTTTTTAATAATGAGAGTCTCAATTATGCTGCCAATAAATATTAGTGACTATCGATCTGAGAAATTAAAAAAAAATGTTCCACAAATAAAATGTAGTTGCTTCTTTAAAATTTAATATTTAAAAATTTTTTTTCTGTGTGTATTAAATTAAAAACCGGTACCATAATTTGCAGTTTTTAGCAAAGGCAAGAAGTAAAAGGAAGGTAAGATACTTCTCTGACATGCTGGTGTATGGAGATTAAAAGTTTCTATTGCATGCTTGCTCATAAGCCCTGTGGCTGATTGCATTTAAATGATGTTTTGATAAATTATGATGATCTTCAATATTCTTGATGTTTGGTAAAGTATTCAACAGAAATTTCTTTTTGCAAATGTACACACTTTAGAAAGGAAAAAAAAAAAGTTTTGGTAGAGATGTGTATGCTTCTTTTAAAGAAAGCTAGAAATTATTTTTGTGACTCTTAATAAATATTTGCATTCATACCATATTAGAAGTACCACTCTATAATACAGTTTGTTATCATGTTGCATAAAACTAGATGTGTTGTCTTTCCTATCAACTGAATATATTTGATTTATTCAATATTGTACATATGTGAAATAAAAGTGATCTTGTTTGTTACTTAAAAGTATGCTTGTTTTCTTTTGACATCAGCAAAAATTAAACCATTTTTTGCTGTAAAATTTTATTTGTAATTGTTAATAAAAAATGTCAAATTTAAAGACTGTGTAGCTAGTTTTCTTGAACTCTTATTTGTTGAAAAAGAGTTCAACACTTAGATTATAGTAGAACTCTGTCAAGATATTACCAAGTTTAAATGTAAATAATGCAGTCATTGACAAAGAAAGAAATTACTTTATACCTGTTTTTCGTAAGGGAATAATAATTGTATACATGCTCAGTCTCTAAGACACTACACAATGTGGCCCCAGCTAAGAAACCCCCATATTTAGGAAGGGTTTAGGTTGCTAGTCAAAGTTCCCCCATGAGGGTAAATCAATACCTCAGGCACTTAATCCGAAGTGGCAGACTTTAACATGTTGACTGCTCAGCGTCTGCTGGATGTCCAATATGAGTTATCTTGTAGTTTGTCTTACCACTTTTGCACCGCTGCGCTTGTTTTAGCTGTACTGATGCAACGAGTCGAAGCATGTCTGTTTGAATCGACTCGTAGTGGGCTTCTGCAAAGAGCTTCGTCTAACAAAAGCCGACTAAATCGATTTGGCTTCTCGGACCGGAATTTGAAAAGTGCTGTGGCAGTCAGCGTGTTAAAAGTTTTCTCCATAACCACTGCTACCTTCTGGGCCACCATTCCCAGTTTTCAGGCTTTACAATAAACTGCATGCCTGGTTGACTGGCTGTTAGAGATGCTACTTGCCAGTTCCATGCGAAATGCTCGAAGCCCTTGCACCGGGTCTAGAACACCTCCCTGTGGGTATATCTCACCCTGCAGCCCACTCGAAAAAATGGAGACAGTTTTATCACACCCACAGGTCTGTGTGAACCACCAAGCTCTATTTTACACCGTGGCGGAAACTGCCTAGGTACAGATCGTAGCCAGTAGCCTCAGAGTTCTCTGTGTCGAACCTTGTGGGGCCTCCTAGGGGAAATAGATTTGCATGTGTATTAATAGTTCAATGCTGCTATAAACCTATTTATTTCTCTTAGGAAGTTCTCCGTAAAAGTATTTTCTAACTTTAAATTCAAAAACTAAATACCCAAACATCCTGAGTTTTTTCTCAAACATTCATAAATTTTGCTCAAAGTCAATAGCCAGTCATAGACTTTAGCAAAATAATCCATTTTTATTTTTACAAATATTTTTAGTCATAGACATAAAAAAATTTGTCATAAATGATGATTTTAAAAGGAGTAATAGAAATGGATGTTCTACACTCTATAACAAACAAACAAAACAAAACAAAACAAAAAAAAAAAGCACCAAGAAGGAGTCATCCAAATATGCTAATGATTAAAATTTAGTGTTCAATGAATGAATAGTGCCATCTCAAGCAAATCGGAACTGCGCATCCAGCAGATGTATATAAGAAGCTATTCTTGAACTGTTGCATTGCAACTTAGGATAGGTGACTGAAAAAATGCCTCACTGCAGGATTCGAGCTCATTATGAGCAACTGCCAGAGTTTGAAAGACGCACGTTGGACAAATCAAAGAATCCATACAGCGATTAGAAGATGCTGGCAAGAATGAGTGGACACTGGTAGATTTCAGCATCATTATGGTAGGGGTTGACCTAGAGCCACAACAGATCTGGAGGATAATGGTTGTTAGATCAGCCGTCACAGCACCTGATTCATTGCTATCAACCATCAAATGTGCGAACTTCACATGAGTGTCCACCATGACCATACACAGACGGCTGATAATGCAAAATCTACAATTGTACTGACCGTTATGCTACCTGCTACTCACGCCTGCAAAAGTTTGAGCCAGATTATAGTGGTGCTTGGCTAGATCAGGTTGGAATGATGCTGACAGGGAAGGTATAGTCTTTAGAGACGAATCCTACTTCCAACTGTGTCGTGATGATCATCGAAGACGTGTCTGGAGCCAGAGCAGCATGCCAATCCTGCTTTCACTACTGCACGCCACAGAGGCCCTCAACCAGGAGTTATGATCTGGAGTGCCATTTCCCTTGATAGCAGAACCACTTGTCATCATTAGAGGCACACTCGCAGCACAGTGGTACATTGACGACATTCTGAGACCTGTTTCGCTACCGTTCCTTTTACAGTAACCTGGCCTTATTTTCCATCAAGATGATGCCAGATCACATACGGCACATGTTGCTATGAACTGTCTTACAGCTTGTCAAATACTTCCTTGGCCCTCCAGATCTCTCTCCCATTGAAAATGTCTGCGACATGATGGGAAGGCAACTGCGTCTATCAGAGAATGTTGATGACCTAGCCAGACAATTGGAGCAAATTTGGCAAGAAATACCACGGGAGACCAAATTAGTTAGTAAATAAGTTATTGTGGAAAGGGAACAAAGACTCGTCAGTCAAGGACATTACTGAAATTGCTTCCTGTGACATTTCATGAATTTGGAAGGAAAGTTAAATCAGACTTAATAAAAGCTGCTCTTGACAGGGTGGGATTATTGGATAGGTCAGCTGCAGTCATTGCATCCTCTGTACTTCAGGATCTGAGAACTGTATCTAAGATGCTTTATTTAAAAATTTCTTGTTGACTTACCAATTACAATGAAAAGTACAAAAACTTAAAATGAATACCAAAAACTTAAAACGAATACCAAAATCTCAGAAGTAGGCTGATAAAATTAAAGATTTCTTCGATCATGCAAACAGTACTTTGATATTTCTGCATGCAGATGTTTTAATTACACACAATGTGTTGCATGAAGATTCCAAGCACAAAACGAAATTTGTTAATAGACCAACAACGTGAAAGTAAAATGGCCGTTGCGTTGATCAATGTTCTGAAAGCCGAAAATTGCAACGTATAAGAGAAAGAAACAAAGAAGGGAAAATCAGGAAGCTAAGGCAAGGGCATATAAAGATAATGCATGTCTGTAATCGAATACAAACTTAGAAGTAAATGCTGTGTCGGTGTTCGATTCAGAAGACATCCCCTGAAGATGATGACGATCTCATTAGTCAAGAAGCCAAACATCTGAAAGCAACTGATTCTCAAATTCCCTCAACCTCCAAGACAGTCTAAATGTCAATACCTCTTCCAAATTGAAATGCTGCTTTTGATAGCGGGATTATTGGATAAGTCAGCTGCAGTCATTGCATCTTCTGTACTTCAGGATCTGAGAACTGTGTCTAAAGGTACTTCAGCTAAAGTTATTGTCAAGAGTAAGCTGCGGAGAGAATGTCGTAAGGTGTGGTCCCAGCTTTAATCAACCGCTACAACAGAAATACAATCTTTGTATGGCATTCTACTTTGATGGGAGGAAGGACAAAACTATAGTGTATGAGAAGAAGGGAAATTCTTTCTACAGGACTACACTTAAGGAAGAGCATATTCTTTTCTTGTCAGAACCTGGTTCTGCTTATGTAGGACATGTAACTCCAGATTCTGGATCCAGTGCATTACCAACATTATCACACAGAAAGGTACTAACCTTTTCAAACTGCTTGCTGTTGAGAGTAAGGTAAAAATCATCAACACTGAGAAGAAAAATGGCATAATTAGAGGTCTTGAGCTTTTTGTTGGTCATAAACTGCATTGGTCAGTATGCTTGTAGCATACCAATGAACTGTTTCTTTGTCATCTTTTCCAGAAGCTTGATGGAAATACATCTGGGCCATCAGTTTTCTGAAACAGTGGAAGAATCCATAAAAACATGCCAAACCCTTCCTGTGACAAATTATCTCCCTATTCTAGTTGATCTATCCAAAATTGACCAAAAAGACCTCAGTACTGAACAAAAATACCTCTTTCATATTTTTAAGGTAGTATCCTCGCGGAGAGCACCCTTTCAGATCCAGCAAACAATAGTTCTGGGAAGATGGTCCACTCAAGATAGCTCACTGCAGCCAACAGAATTCTTCGCCTTTATGTATCAACTGCCGAACCAACAGACGACTAGCTGAATATGTTATAAAAGTTTATGTGCTATCCTGGTTTGAAATAAAGAAAATGCTGAGAGCAACACAAGGGATATGTTGTGTTCATGGAATGTGAAGAAAAGTTCATTCTTGCCAGAAAATTTTAAGACAATCGTTCACGAAACTATTCAGAGGAACTGTTATTTTGCTTACTCTGAAAACATCCTGTTGAGGATACTGGAAGATGAACTAGCACATATTCATGAACTTGGCCTGAGAAGAATACTGAAAGCATGAAAAATCTAAAGATGACAAGTGATTAATCTGAAACTTTTTTATCAACTATAACCATATCAGGAGACAAATGTGTTGTAAAAAAATCATTAAAAATATTGTTAAAAAGTTCGATACCTTCATTAACATCGATATTTTTATTTACCTCATGTGGAACCACAAGACGACGAGAGATTGAGCTGCAATTTTATTTTAGTCTTTTTCATCAAACAGAACAATTTGTTGGGGGGTCAGGAAATCATAAAATTATATAAAAAAAAAAAAAAAAAAAGTTTTGCCTTTTTCACTCCACCCTAATGTGTAGGTCACAGCAAATGAATAAATAATTTTAAAGTAGAAAGAAAAAAGAAAAATTTAAAAAAAAAAAATCATCCATTAAAAATTTTTGTTAAGTATACTTACTATTTGGAGTTTTTTATACAATGAACAAGCACACTGGGCAGAATCCTGTTAAAAAAATTTGCTAAATAAAAGATTTCGTAAACTAGAATGTTCTTTAAATAGAGGTTACAGTGCCATCTGCAACTAAAGGCATGTTTTCATAGAAAACTTCATAAAAACTGACTTAATCTTATGCTTGAACTATAAAAGCCTCACCCAGCTACCTAGTCGGGTACTGTAATCAAACCCAAGTATCCCCTTACGCAGTTAGCCCTCGAATACTTTGCCATAATTAAATATACCATATTCTTAAGTTTTCCCATAAATGCATTTCCTCCTAGCTATTGTGCCACTTTAAAAAAAAATCTAATAAGTGTGTAGTGGACCACACCGAGATGCGAAAAATTGGGTG